ATTTAATTTTCAAGTATTTTTTCACTGCTCTTTGAACTGTCATAGCTGAAACTCCTCTCTCCTGTACCAAACGTCATATAGATTGAGTTGGATCTTTTCTAATTGATCTCTTTAGCTCTAAGTTGAATTGATGATCCATCTTCATGTTGTGACGTCCTGATACAGTTTTCCTTTCTAGTTTTCCCTCTTTTTTAAACTTATTCACCGTTATCTTGATGGTTCTTGAATGGTCTGAAGATGGAAGCCAGGGTATGAATGCTGGTGCCATTACTGAAGTCCTGAATGGTTTTTTTCCACCAACTATTGCTCAGTTGGGAAGTCAGTGAGTCTGACACAAAATGATTTTAACCTGTTCTATTTCTAGCTGAATAACTCAAAGAGTTTTTCAATGATTCTTACGACAAATGATGACAAGATGGCTATACACTGATCATTTTTTGAAGAGGCTAAAAATCACTCATTTTCGCTGACAGATTGCACTGCACACCTATAAATTTCCTCTAAGAGGGATTAAAATTCATGCATAAAAATCATCGGTTTTATTCACGAATGTATATGATAGATCATATTTTTTATCAAATAACCCAAAACAAGGCGATAGGGTTGCTATGACGCAAGAGGTTACTGGTAGTGAAAGTGATTGTGAAGTCTTTTGAAGAAACCAGGAAACACAATCCTAAATAGTAAACAAGGGATAAACCTTTACTCCTGTTCAAAAGTTGGATAAGAAGTGTGAATAAGGGTAATTCTTCAGTATGTGCCTGATGATTGTCACGTGCATGAAAGTTGTACCAAACGTTGGCAAAGGAAATGAACAAATACATAGGTTATTTCTTATCTTATGTATATAAGAATGCATTATTTTAAATACTTTTAAACTAGCTTTTAGCAAACATTAAATATAGCATTTATTTATTTGGAAAACAAAAAGCGGTCATTTTGAAAAACTCAAGTCTGTTAACATGAAACTATATAAATAATGTTATTTTTCATGCACATACTTTTTCATGCATATATATATACATACATAGATACATACATAGATACATATATACATATATATATATACATACATATATATATATAAATAAATAAAATATATATATATATATATATATATAAATAAATACTTTCATAAAATAAAACATTATAATTTTTAATTTGAAACTTTTTCTATATATACATATTAAGAAAGTATACGTGGCTTCTCATTATATATATATATATATATATATATATATATATATATATATATATATATATATATATATAAGTTGAAGATCAAATGTACATCAGGTATTAAGAATCCGGCAAGATGATGATATGACATAATGAAAAAAATAGGAAACGAATCTCAATCTAACATGTTTCAACTTTGTTAAGGCTTCATCAGAGATTGAGAACAGAAATGAAAAAGCAAAGAAACAGAGTACTAGTTTTTTTATATAATTTATCTTCCGAAAAGAAAAAATCATAAGATCACATGAGAAATTGTATAAAAAAACTTCATCAAAACACCTTCTCTGTCATATTCAATGAAAGGATTGCTGCCTAAATACACAATATATATATATATATATATATATATATATATATATATATATATATATATGTGTGTGTGTGTGTGTGTGTGTGTGTGTGTGTGTGTGTGTGTGTGTGTGTGTGTGTGTGTGTGTTATAAATTTATGTAAGTGAACCTGACAGAGTTATACATTAATGACAACTGGAAAAAATGTTCATGAAAGTATAATGTTTCGAAAAAATAACCTATAATTCTATCTCTAAACTCGGACACTTAAAGCAAAGAACATAAAATGTTAAACGACATTTTTAAAAAGTCACTCATTTTATTTCTCGTTTTAGTCACGAGCAACGCCAGCTCGGGAAAAAATATAAGATTTCATTATTCTAAATAAACAAACAAATACATAGACACACAATTCACTTTTACGTCTTATATATTATCGGATATTTTTTGAAACATTATACTTTCATGAACGTTTTCTCTCTCTCTCTCTCTCTCTCTCTCTCTGCCTAGAGAGAGAGAGAGAGACTGAGAGAGAGAGACAGAGACACACAGAGAAACAGAGAGACAGAGAGAGGAGATTATTATTATTATTATTATTATTGTAAAGGTTTTATTTTACTGGATACACTCGAATGCATGTAATTGACACAATTTTAAAATCAGGGGACTACTTAAGTGTATCCACTAAAATATAACGTTTTAAGTAATAATAAATAATATCGGATTAAAAAAATCTATCATTAATTCCATATATATAATATTCATTATATATATATTCCTTATATGTATATATATATATATCTTATATGTATATATATATATATATATATATATATATATATATATATATATATATATTAATTGGGTATATATATATATATATATATATATATATATATATATATATATAATATATATATATATATATATATAATATTATTATATATATATATATATATATATATATATATATATATATATTATGAAGGTGACTAAACATGCTGAGACATGTGCCTGGCGTTTCTCTGTTCATTAGAATGATAGATAGATCAGAGCTCTCCTACAACAAAGTTCTTATTATACAAGTGAACGTAAGTCGCTGATTAATGTATAATAATGTATGTTCAAATGTCGAGTGCTTTTAAGTATTTCGTGCTTAATCAAAACTTGTGGTCAATTCCTATATATATATATATATATATATATATATATATATATATATATCAATTCACCCCATGTAAGGCGATAATTCCATGGGGAGTTTGTAGTTTAAAAGACGTAAAATCGAGCTGGCTTACCGGGTGCTCTTTCGTAGCTAAACGGATATAGCACGTTAGGCTATATGGCGGTTCCGTGTATCATACAGTTTCGATTCCTGTCGAAGGACGTAAATTTTCTTTGAAACTTCTCGGACGTTCAGGCCGGTAAATGTTGTTAATACTGTTTACCATAAACAGGGCATTTACTTAAATATTTGTGTATATATAAATAACGTATAACAAGAAAAAAAAATATATTCATTACGATATTTTCCACCCTTGAATTAAAAAGCCTTGTTGGTGATTAAATATTTTCCAACCTCCAATCTTTTCCCCGTGGACGGAAAGCCGCAACCTATCGCTACTCTCATCGCTAATGTCTAGATGTTTGATATTCCTTATTTCCACCAGTTCATGCCTTCACAGCTAGAACATGTACACAGATTTGAATCATCAATATTTTATTAGTAAGAATATCCCACTCAAACAGCTTTTACTTTGTCGAATAGACTTCACTGATCGATACAATTTAAACCTTTTCAAATCTTAGGTCAACCGTTACGTATTCTACATACTCCCACAGTCTACACTTACGTCCATACAACAATCTAACACTGTAAGCATCTACCTTTTTAATATATATGTGTGATAAAATATATTTTTTTCAGATATACTATATTTATGGGTTAAAGTGCTCAATATCAGAGATATGAGCTTCAACACGTAGTAACGACATTCTGTTTCATACTTAAGATGATGTTTAGGCATGCAGTTATATATATATATATATATATATATATATATATATATATATATATATATATATGGGGGGGCTCCAAAATAAGCGATACCTAAGGTTTAAAATGCATTTTAAAAACGAAAAATCTTTCTTGGGGCTTTATTTTTAGTTTTAATTCCAAGCTGAGAGTTTAAATTTAATATTTACAATAAGCAAAATGCTTTGCCGTGTTTCTAACCGAATTTAAACTGATGGAAATGATTTTGAAACCGCTAAAATTGGCCATATTGACAAATTTGTCAACACAACATAATTTTACTTATTAAAAGATCTTTCAAAAATAAAATTCTGAAAATTTAATTTGAGGAATAACTGATTTAAAATTTAATTAATCTGAATTAAACAAATATTATTTACTTTACTTTAAAATATCAGAGACAAACATTTTTTGACAAAGAGGTAGATGTGTTTATGAGGTGTTGACAGATTTATCGATAGCTTAATGTTTGGCAAATTTAAATAAAGGGTACATAACTGTAAAAATTACTTGACGAATAAAATTTTTTTTTTTATATAATTTGTTTAACTACCCAGTAATCTTAAAAATATAGGGAAATATTCTCTGTAAAATATTTTATTGAATGTTAGGTATTTTGACTTCACATGCTTAATTACGAAGACGCTTGTGGAAATGTTAGAAAATCACCAATAAATTTAAAATTTACTATAGTTACCGCTTTTATTTTCTAATAATGCCATGTATGGACGTCCATATTTACTAAATCGGCACGTTTATACACGCACAAAACAAATGTTAAATTCTTTTTAAAATACAGGGCGTCGCTGAATTGTAATAAGCTTTTCCATTTATAATTAGTAAATATAGTTTTTACTTAATAACAATGTCACATATCAACTAAAAATTAATAGAATTTTAAAATTTTTAAATCTTTATAAATTATTATAATTAAAATCTTTAAAAAATTCAAAACAATTCTTGAAAAATTTCAATATTTATCGCAAAAATATTTTAATTTTAAAAGCTTTTCTAATTAAATAATGTCTTAACTTTATTGCATTTTTGATTTTACGATTTAGAGCAAATTTTCTGTATTTGGGGGTACTGCTTGATGTAACAGATTTAAAACAAAAATAGAATAAGTGAGAAAAAAAAGAAGTCCTTAAAGTTTCATTAAAATCAGACAATTATCTGATTTTTACATGAATTTCCGAATCAATGTATTTTTCACTGCAAAAACACGTTCAAATTTCCGATACTAATTTATGGTACCCTATTGATGAAAAAAAAAAAATATTTTTTAACAAAAATTTCAAAGGTTCTAAAAAGTATTTAAAAATATAATTTAATAATCAAAAAAATCTTTTGTTCTTTCCGCTTAATAACATAACGATTTTGATGATAAAACCGTTTTATTAGGATTTTGGGACATTTTTTCATCATGCATGCTATTTTTCAGCAAATGTCTGAAGATAGATAGATAGATAGATAGATAGATAGATAGATAGAAGGTATATTTAGACAGCAAGTATTCATCCCTGTTTAATATTTTATTGTATTTTTTTTTAAATTTTCGGAGAAGCTGTTGAGTATTTTGCTGGAAGTTTTGAATAAACTATCCAAAGATCATGTTGTATTATTGTTTTGTTCAAATACTTTCCACCGTTTCAGACATTTTCAAGAACCAATGTGACAAAAATTCCTTTATCTACATCCTAGTATTCTTTGGAAAGCTGGAAGTTTGAAATCGTCTACAGTGACGTCATGTGTAATGCTTATGGGGAACGAGGTCAAACGAAAAAGTATGCGATATTTTTTATTAATATATATACATATGCGCACATATATAACATGCGCTTCAAGATACAGTTTCCTGTAGCGAATGATTTAGAATAAAATAAAAGTAAAAAAAGATAAACTTTGAAATTTAATAATCCAATAAGAATTGACATTCGATAAAATCAACCAACCAACAATTTCGTCAGACTAATTAAATTTTTGCTAGATAAATCAAAGTTTTAGTCTCCTGATTTAATTCGCCTGACGTAATGGTTGATTTCTAAAACTATTAGATGTTGTGTCAATCCTGCAAGTGGTGATACCCAATCTACCTGCCTTGATAAACTATATTAGAAATTATGATTTGCTAACCAAATTCGAACACCAAACACTAGTTTCGCGGGAAATAATGCAACTGTGTCAGACCCGTTGGAGGCGTGTTTTATGTGTCAGTGCTTTTTATATGCAATAAAACATTATAATTGTTTTAAGTCAAGCAGACAGAAAACATTTTTGTTATACTTCTTAATACCTTCGACAAAATAAAAACAACTTTTAAAATTTAGTTACAATACATAATATTCACACTGTCCAAAAATGTCAAAACACGATCAGTTATTTCTTTTTAAACTGAATTTGTTCTTTGTTTATATATATATATATATGTGTGTGTGTGTGTGTGTGTGTGTGTGTGTGTGTGTGTGTGTGTGTGTGTGTGTGTGTGTGCCGTGCGTAACAGCAAAATTGTTAGATTAAGCGTTAAACTGTTCTATTCTAGAAATGATTAAAGATATCTAACCGGAATTCTCCGCGGTAACACTACTGGACTCTACTTTGAACAAAAAGAATGTATTTAGCTCTAAATTGAAATGATGATCCCTCTTGCTGTTGTGACCTCCTGATCCAGTTTTCCTTTCTACTGTTCCCTCTTTTTTCAACTTATTCACTGTTCTCTTGATGGGTCTTGAATGGACTTTGAAGATGGAGGCCAGAGTATGAATGTTGGTACCATTACTGAAGGTCTGAATTTATTTTTTCGTCTCACCATTGCTCAGTTGGGAAGTCATAGTGGTTTTGACACAAAATGATTTTAACCTGTTCTCTTTCTAAATGAATAACTCAAAGGGTTTTTCAGTGATTCTTACGAAAATAGGTGTCTTATCTGAAAACCTGGAAAAAAGAAAGTCATTTGTTTAGTGCTTTTTTTTTTTTTTTTTTGTATATTAAGTATTTTGTGGGATGGACAATTATCCCATGCTGTTACACAATTTGGACAATCTTGCCGTTACGCCTGGTATATATATATATATATATATATATATATATATATATATATATAATAAATTAACTGATTTAAAATATTTTTTTTCGCTACAGAGTATTAACCATGTTTCAAAAATGGAAGCTGAAAGCTTCGAATTTAATTTTATAATTAAATTAAAAATATTAGTTTCATTTCATCCTCAAGCGACTTTTAGTATTATATATCTTACTGTTCTTTGTTTTTATTTATACACATTTATTTGTGTGTGTGTGTGTGTGTGTGTGTGTGTGTGTGTGTGTGTGTGTGTGTGTGTGTGTGTGTGTGTGCTTGCCGATTCAAACTTCTTGTAATTTAAATTATCGATTCATATGGAAAATAATTGAAAAGTTTCTTATTTATTTCCTTCATGGAAATCTGAAATTTTTTTTTTCCGGGAAGGAAATTACGGCAACAAATTTAATCAAATACTGACTTTCATCTTTTAATGGTCTTGATGGCTGACACAGAAATGAAACTACGGGAACTCTTAGACGAAGCAACAAAAGAAAGAAAGAAGAACAGACTAACCATTAATTGTAAAAAAAATAAAAAAATCAGTGATATATGGCCATGCAAAAAGGAAACAGCCCAAGATGCGAGATACAAATTGTCGACATCCGAATCAAGCAAGTATTATATGGCAGATGTTTTTAACAGACGAACGAATACGTGACGCCGACATCCGAAGCATGCATTTGAATAGTGAAATATGCCTTCTAAACACAGTATTAAGAAATTGGAAAATTTCGTTGGAAAAGATAAGAATACACAACTGCTAGCTAACATCACTTCTGCTATATGGCAGAGAATGCTGGACAATTTCTTCACAGATTGACTTCGATTGATTGGTTATAATTTTACGTCTTATCAACCCTTTGCAGGTAATTTAAAGCCAGAAATTATTTGTAGATTGTGAGAATGTTTTTAAAAAATAATGGATTACTGATGCAAGTATTAACAATTAATCCATAACTGTGGGAGAAGAGGTGGGTTCATGCCTTTCCCAAGTCTATTTTTGTGTAAGTGAATATAGCGAACCCGACTGGAATTGGAACTCGGCTTTCGATTAACAATTCCGAGCCATTATCACCACCCGCACATCCAAGCTTACATCACCTGGTATTCCCAGGCGGTCGCCCATCTAGGTACAGACCAGGCTTGACGTTGCTTAACTTAAGATGCGACTTGAGGCAGTAAAGATGTACTTTTAAAGCTGGATGCTGGGAATACCTTGGACAGGAGATGTGAACAATGAGGAAGTTTTAAAGAAAGTGGGAACGGGAATGACACGTGTGCTTCGAACGAGAAAAATACAGTTGAAACGTCTTGGGCACATACAGAAGGCTTGGCGAATTCGACACCCACATGTCACACTGAAGGTAAAAAGGGGCAGAGAGAAACATCAGGTAACCTACTTAACGAGTTTGCGTAAAGAGATGACAAAACAGGGATCGGGAAAGATGGTAAGAGGAGAACCGTTGATTGGAGATGCAAATGACAGAAAGTTGTGGAGAGCCATGATCGCCAACGTTTTGAAGTGACACAGCACATAGAAAATTGCATAGATCCTCAGTCCGGCAGTCGCTGGTTCCCCTCTGCCGCTCTTACCTTCAGTGTGTCATGTGTGTGTCAAACTCTCCAAGCTCGCTTTCCTCATTATGCATCCCAGAAATTTCAACTGTCTTTGTATGCATACCAAGTTCACGTCATCTGTGATGCTCCTTAGTGTTCGGGGCAGTCAATGCAGGAATTAAAGATCAATGCTATTAACTACATCGTGGTTAGATTCAGTGGCCAAACCCTGAATCGAGGAGGCGGACTTACATGTTTTCCCGCCGGAAAGTCCATCCTCTCTCGTGTCACAAGCGTAGCTAGCGGCGAATTTTCACGACCATCTCAGCCCACAAATAACTGTTTTGATTTAAATTCCCTAAACTACAACGTCTAGGGAGTCATCGACTGGAAGACTAATGTAAACAATCGGCCCCAACGGAACCGTTGAAAGCTGCCATTGGAGATGTAATCACCGACATGAAACAATACCATCTCATCCGGGCAAGCATCCGGTTTCGAGGCTGTAAGTGAATATTGAATAAACCTTGTCTGTTGTTTTTTTTGTTTGTTTTTTTTTTTATATAAATGAAACACGTCTTCATTCATTTTAAATATACTATTATTGTAATTATTTACTGTTTTCTCAATAAGATTGCATATGTCCGTCTATTGTCTGGTTCTTTTGAACAGGAGTAGAGGCTTATAATTTGTCTTCTGTTCAGGATTCGGTTTCCATTTCCCTATAAAGTCTGTTCATTCTCTTTCACTCCTAGCAGCCATTTGCATCTTAGTGGCATTATCGCCTTACTTGGGGTGAATTGATAAAAAACAATTCTCATTAATATCTTTCTTTTGTTATATTTAAATTTGTTCTAAATACACTGCCTTTATATATATATATATATATATATATATATATATATTCCTTTTAGCCAGATTACTCTGAGGATCCATTGTTCAGGTGAAACCTAGGTTAGTAGTTCCTGGCTCTTTAAGATTTATTTGATATATATATATATATATATATATATATATATATATGTGTGTGTGTGTGTGTGTGTGTGTGTGTGTGTGTGTGTGTGTGAGAGAGAGAGAGAGAGAGAGGAGAGAGAGAAAATGATACATATATTTTTATTCATCAGAACAATATTAGAAAAAGCAATGACTAAGACAAAAGTCTATAGAAAGTGCTTTAATTGCTAACTCATCTACAGTAAATTTGCGTCCAGATTCTTATAACATTTTCATCTTTTGTCTATTATCATAATATGGGATGCTTAATAATAACAAGGTATTTACTCTGTCTCCCCACCATGACGAGTTGTGACACAAGGCCCTTTTTAAGGTGGGGACCAGAGCGCGTCCACACCTGGGTAAGGAACAACCGTCGGTTGCGATGGTCTCGGTGCGAGCACCGATCCCTCTCTCTCTCTGGTGCAACAAGAGGGCGCGGCCTCGTGCAGCTGTTCCCCAGGACTGAGCATCTCTGAGTATAATTTTTTTCAATTGCGACTCTGTCCTTTGAAGGAGACGCCCCTGAGTGAACTCTGCCCAAGGGCAGAGACGCAACTGAGAGATGATAAATAATGTGTAGCAAACCACTCAAGAGAGAGGTTTACGCAGTCATAACAAAAGTGATGAAAACATAAACAAAAAGAAACTAAATTAAATCGGCTAGAATATATACCCAAACACATATTTAAACAAAAAAAATAAAATTATAATTTCAATATGCCCTCTCCATCTCTCCTTCGTGCGCATGCGTAGTTACATCAAAGTATACATCACTTTAGTCCGATGAAGTTCTAAAAGATGAAGCGCTAAACACGAAAAAGTTTTTGCTCTTACTCATTGATTTTCCTAATATAGATAGATAACAGAATTTAGATATATATATATATATATGTGTGTGTGTGTGTGTGTGTGTTTGTGTGTGTGCGTGCGTATAGTGGAGAGAGAGAGATAGATAAGGAACAGAATTAGATAGATAGATAGATAGATAGATAGATAGATAGATAATGAACAGAATTAATAGATAGTTATATATATATATATATATATATAGATAGATAGATAGATAGATAGATAGATAGATAATGAACAGAATTAATAGATAGATAGATAGATAGATAGATAGATAGATAGATAGATAGATAGATAGATAGATAGATAGAAAGAAATGAACAGAATTAGATGCATAGTTACGCAGACAATGAAAATAGATAGATAGATAGATAGATAGATAGATAGATAGATAGATAGATAGATAGATAGATAGATAGATAGATAGATATGAATAGACTGAAATAAATAGACATATAGATATGAATAGACTGAGGTAGCTAAATAGATAGATATGAACAGAATTAGATAGATAGATAGATAGATAGATAGATAGATAGATATGAATAGACTAAGATAGATAGATAGATAGATAGATAGATAGATAGATAGATAGATAGATAGATAGATAGATAGATTTGAACACAATTAGATATATAGATACACAGATAAGGAACAGAATTAGATAGATATTCGAACTGGATGAGAGGGCAAGAAAGAAAGTTGTTCCTCGCCTCTAATTTCCATGATAAGTGATCTCTCATATCAAACCTGCAACTTCTGATACCGTCATTATTTTAATTGCTTGTTGTCTGGAGAATCGGCCAAAAATATTCTCATCTCAGCAACCCTAATTATGTTTGTTAGCGAATGCGCTGCACCTGATCATCAAATGTTCCAGTTTACAAAACGTGCGGCTGTGTTATTTTTGTGTTAAATTAATGCTCCAGGAGAGGCAGTGATAGTGAATGAAACAGAAAGCGGCGGAGGGTGGGTGGGGAGAGAAAGAGAGATAGAAGAGGGCGGAAATTGGTCGTTCATTCTTTCCCGCTGTTTTTATTATGCAAATGTTCATGAACGAAACGTAAGCCAAGATTAAAATTAAGATCTTCATTCTTGCGTTACATTCGTTAAGAAACAAAATTCTGTTTTGTAATGTCAGTAAATCTATCTGGAAATCAGCACAACGGAGAATGGCTAATATGACAATTACGTTTTTGATCTTAAAGATCTGCTTCTGTCTATACTTTTAATCATCAGATAGATAGATAGATAGATAGAGAGATAGATAGATAGATAGATAGATAGATAGATAGATAGATAGATAGATAGATAGATATGAATAGGCTGAGGTAGCTGAATAGGTAAATAGATATGAACATAATTAGATAGATAGATAGATAGAAAGATAGATAGATAGATAGATAGATAGATAGATAGATATGAATAGACTAAGATAGATAGATAGATAGATAGATAGATAGATAGATATGAATAGACTGGGGTAGCTAAATAAATAGATATGAACAGAATTAGATAGATAGATAGATAGATAGATTAGATTAGATTAGATTAGATTAGAATAGAATAGAATAGAATAGACTTGACTTGACTTAGATAAATAGATATGAACAGAAGTAGAAATTTGAAATCAATACGAATGTCTCCAAAATATACATTCTAATATACACAGAAGTGTCAGTACAATTGATAACAGTTCATGAAATAATGTTTTAATCTTCTAGACGATTGTCCTACGGGCTGGTTCGTAAATATGGTGTCATGGTAACAGTGAGTTCGATCCCTGGGCTGGGTGGTACAAACTCAGGCTCGATGAAAACAAGACTAGCAATAAATAAACTAAAATTGGACGATTCGTTATTTGGTGATTTGTCAGGAAGGCGACTTCTTGATGTTTTCAGCCTGGGGTGACGATTCCAACTCGTGGCACCTTTGGAAAGTGACTGAAAACCATACGACGCGTTGACCCAAGCCTTGTGAGTGAAATTGGATAAATGGAGTTCTTCGTCGATGACATCGTACCGAGGGTTTGAGCGTACTGGCTTTGTTTAAAACTGCCAATTTTTTCCAGAAACTGTAACTAAGTTCCGCTCATCACAGATGCCGTATAAATCAAAGGTGGACTCTGTTAGCGCTGAACAAATACAAATGTTCCCGAGAAGGCGTCTGCAACAGAGATTAGCTAATCGCCCTGGCAGTCAGGCGTGTATTCGTACACGAGCGACCATCCATTTCAAAAACTAAAAAAGTACAAGAAGCGATACATGAACATATACAGAAACGAGAACAGTCAACCTCCATATAAAGGGTGTTCCAATAACTTGGACTGATTTTAAATGTGAATTAAGTTTAAGCGTCTAATGATTTTTTTTTTCTTTCACATTTAACAACTTACGTCTTTGGCAATTTCAACCATGCAAAGATTAACAATCAAAATGTTTTAAAGTTATCGAAGCCTATTACGAAAATGAACATTCAAACAGAAATGCATTTAAATAAAATAAAAATGCAATTTAAGTAAATGTAAAGAATTATGTGATTATCTATGTATGGTTTAACACTTCTGACAAGGATAAGCGTCTCATGCCTGCTGCTGTTAAGCATTAGTGTTTATTATCTGTGCACTCTGTGAAATGCATCATGTAAATATATATATATATATATATATATATATATATATATATATATATATATATATATATATATATATATAAAGGATGTTCCAATAACTTGGACCGATTTTAAATGTGAATTAAGTTTCAGCATCTAATGATTTTTTCTTTTTCTTTCAGATTCAACAATTTACGTCTTTGGCATTTTCAACCAAGGAAAGATTAACAATCAAATAACGTGTTAAAGTTTTTGATGCTCATTGCTAAACCAATACAACAATGGCTTTATTGAATGAGGAGTTCCCAAGTTGCATCATCTCTCGAAACAGTGAAGTCATTTGGCCACCACGATCGTGCCACTTGACGCCTTTAGATTTCTTCCTTTGGGGTCATCTCAAAAGTAAGGTCTATGCCAACAAGCCAACAACAGTTCAACAACTGAAGGATGAGATAATAAATCGTATTGGTAAGATCGAGGAGCAACTATGCAGAAACGTCATCAAAAATTTTGACCATCGAGTGGCCGTTTGCCGCCAATGCCTTGGCGGACATTTATTTGGGTGATATGATTTTTCACACATAATTGCCATGACTTAAATAATATGACCCAATAGGAAAATAAATAAATATTCACCAATAACACTGATTTATTTACTGCTGACTTTGATCCGTCTTAATGAAACACCCTTTAATTAATAAAGGGCATGGTTCGAAATTCCCTGAAGGTTACCTGGATTGACAGATACCTAAAGAATGTCAGAGAGCACAATGGCCGAAACGTAGGGGTAGCAACAAAGATAAAAACATTAGTCCGAATGTAAATAATATGCTTTGCTTCAGGGTCATGACAAATGATTCATCACTGGTTATGTTCTTGAAGACCAAATTGGCATAATTTCCCGTTTAATTTTGGAGTTCAATGCAGAGAAAAATGCGAAGCGTATCTAAAATTTATCATATGCATTAGTCATACACAAAAATAAGTTCAACCACAACTTCGATCTAATGAATGTCACACTTATTAAACGAGAAAATACCTTGAAAGTGCTGCCAAAATGTTAACCTGCGCCTAGGATTGTTCGAAGAAGGGTGGTCTTTGCGAAGTTATGCTATATTTATGGGTAAACATGCCCAATATCAGTGTAGGAGCGTATGTAAATATAAAAGTGGATACTGAGATCAACAACGAGCAACAAGAATTTGTTCCATGCTTGAACACAATCTTCAGGCCATGATTTACCATGACATTGAATTGTATTTGTAGTGGTGTCCACCCTCTAAAAAGTCTATGTTGGACTCTTCCGCCTACTATAATATTAGTAGGAGAGAAGGCCTTAGGGAAACAGTCGAATAGACTGTTCATCTGTCGAATTCTCTGCCTCGGCAGAGAGAAACTCGGACGAAGCTTTGCCGCAGGGCAAAGTTTCGTCCGGGGAGGTGGAGAGTCCCTGAACCCGTTTAGGCGGGTTCAATGGGAATATTTTTGGCCGAGCCTACGGGCTCGGAGTACCCACAATAAACTGGCCTTGTGCCACATACACCCTCGTGGGGGAGGGGGCTGTTAAATATAACAGTCGTATAGAAAAAAAAAACAGATGATGGAATTTGTAAATAAAAAAATATTAGACAAACTGATATTTGGGGAAAAAAAATCAATAAAAAAAAAGAAAAGACTAAAAACATCCGTACCGCTTAAAAATAATCAATCAGCAGCGCAATGTCTAGCCAAATGAAAAAAATTAAAATTCTTCGCCTGTCTATTTACTAAAGCATGTATTAGAGAAGGGTCGTTGCCTAGATATACTAGACAAGAACGAAGGCGGAGATAGCGTGACTTATTGGCGCGAGAAATGAACTCAAGTTCCGGCCGAGTGTGATGGGTTCCACTTCGCCCCAATGCCCTTGGGAAAGATATGACGCCATTCTTTCTATCCACATTTTTCAAACATTTTATTTATGAGAAATTCTTATAAATTGATTTCTCTAAACATCAAGTACGTCTGTCTTGTTGGCCTAATGGTTATCCGCATGAAAAATGGATATGGCTCTCCACAACTTCTTGTCCCTTGTAGCTCTTAATAAACTTTTTCTCCGAAACCCTGTTCCGCCATCCATTTACTCAAGCTCAGTAAATTTGTTATGCGGTGTTTTACTCTGACCTGCTTGCCCTCTATCTGTCCCGTGAGTATCAGATTTTCTAAGCCCTCTTTCTTCATTATATGCCCCGAAAACTCAATTGCTTCTTCCTAATGTTAAGTATTAGTTTCCTTTTTGTTTCTATATTCTCCAAAACTTTGTAGTTTCTCACATGTTCCGTTCACGGTATCCTCACCATCCTTCTGTAGAACTACATTTCTGTTGCTTCAGTTCTCTTCTTCATCGCTGAGGAGATTGCCATAGCAGTTTAGTACTCTTTTCCTTGTTTCTAGCAAAATTTTCATATTTCTTAATACTCTGCTTAGCTTTTAGAATGCATCTTTGGCTATCCCAATACGCCTTAGAATTTCAGTGTCACTCTTTCCGTCCTCTGTTGAAACACTTTCTAGATATTTAAATTTCCGCACTTGTTTGTTTTTGGTATCTCCGATTTGCATTTCGGAACTTTTGGCTCACCCTTTTGCTAGCAAACATGCATTCTGTTTTCTTGCACGAAATGTTTAGTTCTTTCTCTCCGCCTCCCCTTCGCTATGTTCTGCTGGAGTTTATGTTGTTAGGATTGTGCTACTGGACTTGAAAAAAAAAACCTGAAGAATTGTTTCAAGAGAAACATTTTATAAATTCCAACCGAGAGTAGTAAAAGATTCTCAGTCAATAAATGCCGAATGTTTCCTTATAAGGAAACGGGTAGTATTAACATTACCATTACCATTACAATTACCATGATATCCATAGGAATGTCTCTATCTGATAAGGCTGTTTAAGATCATGACTCGATTTTTCATGTTAATGTTTTGGTTTTGTAGCAACTTGCGGTGTTGGACGAAACTACCTCTAATGTAGTGTACTCTATGTTCAGTTTCCTTATCGCCTATCAGTTTATATGACATCGCAAAAAAGAACGGATTGTGCCATATTTGTGCTCGTACTTTTAAACTTTTATGGCTAGCATCGTAGCCATTCTTATAAACAAAATTGTGTTTTTCAGTTTCCTTACTTCCTTTAAAGTGAGAATTTTCATCATGCTTTCAGTTCAAAAACTCGACTACCATAAATAAATGATCGTGATCTAAAGATCCGCACGTCTCCAACAATATAAGTCTATTTTCGTCACTAACCATTGTAGATTCAACACGCACTGCTCTACGTAAATTTCTTTATGTTTTACAGAGAAATTCTCAGCGTATTGTTGTTTTGTTTCTTGTTAGACGAAACGATTAATACCGAAAAGGTTAAAATAAATAAACAAAA